ACCCCTCTTCTTCTTCGCCGGCCGCGACTCCGAGAGGTACCGGGGGCGGCTCCCCCCCGCCCGCGCGCGGGGGGGTGGGGAGGCCTGGCGCGGGCCTTGGGGTGCCACCTTCCTACCCTGACGGTGAGACCTGCGTCGGGGGTCGTCGAGAAGCGGGGCCGGAGCAGATTGACCCCTGGAGGCAGGGTCCACCCCATCCCCAGCGACCTCTGCGATCCCTCGTGTATGGCGCTCTGCCCTGACACCGCAGGGGAACCGCAAGAGCCCACGTCCTGTTTATAGATTCATAGATGTGAGGGTCTGAAGGGAGCTCAGTAGGCCATTGAGTCCGACCCCCTGCCCTGCGCAGGAAAGAGCGCTGGGGTCAGACGACCCCAGCCAGGTGCTTGGCCAGTCTCCTCTTGAAGACCCCCAGGGCAGGGCAGGGGGGAGCACCACCTCCCTTGGGAGCCCGTTCCAGATTGTAGCAGCCTTTACTGCGAAGAAGTTCTTTCTAACGACCAACCTAAATCTGCTCTCCGTCAATTTGTGGCCATTGTTTCTAGTTACTCCAAGGGGTCCTTGGTAAACAGAGCATCTCCTGTTCCCTGCTGCCCTCCCCTGATGAATGTGTAGGCAGGCACAAGATCCCCTCTCAGCCTTCTCTTGCGCAGGCTGAAGAGATCCAGGTTCCTCGGTCTCTCTTCATAGGGCCTTGCCTGCAGGCCGCTGACCATGCGAGTGGCCTCCTCTGAACCCTCTCAAGATTCTCCACATACCTCCTGAAGCGCGGCACCCAAAACTGGACGCAGCACTCCGACGGCAGCCTGACCACTGCTGCATAGAGGGCAAGCATCACCTCCCTGGACCTGTTTGTCAGGCATCTGCTAATGCGTGATAAAATGCAGTTAGCCTTGTTGATCACTTTGTCACATTGACTCATGTTCATCTTGGAGTCGGCTATGACTCCAAGATCCCTTTCTGCTGCTGTGCTGCTGAGAAGGTCGTCTCCCAGCCTGTGAGCGTGTTGGTGGTTCTTTTTCCCCAGGTGCAGCACTTTGCACTTGTCTTTATTGAACTGCATCCTGTTTCATTCTGCCCAGATCCACCTGGATCCATTCCCTACCCTCTGGTGTGTTAACTTTGCCCCATAATTTGGTATTATCTGCGAACAAGGTGCTTTCCACACAGGGTGCTTCTTGGGCAGGGTGCTTTTATAAAATGTTCATAGATTTCACAGACGTTAGGGCTGGAAGGGACCTCATGTGATTGTCAGCGTACAGTCAAGAGATCTGGGTAGAGGACCACAGCCCCCGCTACAGAGGAAGGCAAAGCCCCCAGAGTCCATCCCTGTTTGACCTCAGGGTAAAGTTCACTCCCAAGCCCAAATATGGCAGTCAGCCTGACCCTGAGTGAAGACGCTGTAGACAGGAGCCTCTGGTTGTGCTTCTAGCAGGAGGGTTGGCATGCTGCAGTCTTAGCTGTAGCCAATATCCAGTGCCTCTAGGGAGGCTTAAAAACACACATGAAGTGAGAGAGAAGATCGCTACATAAGGTTTATATTGAGAGGGAACCTAGGAACTGCAACAGTCTGGCTCAGACTTTAGGTCCGTCTTGCCCCGTCTCCCAGGTCTCACAGTGGCAGTGAGTAGAGGCTGAAAGGAAGAGTGAACTGGGTCTGGCCAGGGCTTGCTTGCTTGTTTGTTTGTTTGTTTTGTTTTTTCTCCCTTGTCACTCTCCCCAGCATTTCGGGTCTAGGAAGCTCTGGCTCAGAATTGGTGCCCCTCACAGTCAGGCTCCATAGGGACAGATGCCCCTTTCCTCCAGGAATGGCTCAGTCCATTTTGGAATCCGGCTTCTACAACGTTGTGAGAACATAAGAACTGCCACTGATGGGGTCAGACTGGAGGTCCATGTTGCTCATTATCTTCTGTCACACAGGGGCAAGTGGAGGCTGAGAGAGGGAGTGACCTGGGTCTGAGCAGAGTTTCCCATCTTCCCCCCCCACCCCCCCTTTCCCCTCTCACTAGCAGCTTCCAGCATTTCAGGTGTAGGAAGCTCTGATTTAGGCCGTGCCCCTCACTCCCAGGCTCCATAGCAATGGATGCCCCTTTCTTCCAAGAATGGGTCCAATCTATTTTTGAAGCTTTTCAGGTTCAGTTTGGGTGAATCCAAGCTCACTTCATCAGCTGCTGCAAAAGGACAGGGTAGAGCAGAGAGTAAAGTGGAGTGAGCCATTACAATACAACAGGTGGGGCAAGGTGGGAGAGAGAACAAGCAGAGAACCCCTAGGGACAAAGTGGGTCACCAAAGCTTACCCAGATCATGGGATAAGAATCTGTCGTCCCTGTTTAAACCACACTTAACACAGTCCAGTTTGCGGTCAGTGTTAGGAGGGGTCATTGGGAGTTGTTCTGTGTTTGTGCACCAAGGGAATCCTCCCCCTGCTTGATGTACCCCAGTGTGGTGTAAGGTGGCTGGAGCCAGGGTAGGAAGCTCACAGAGCTCTGAATGGTCTTGCAAGGGCTGGACCAGAATGCCCTCTGCAATCCCCTGCACTGTGACTGTCTATCACTGTGAGTGATAACTGTGTACAAGGGCATCCGATATCACATATTGTAACATAGGGCTCCATAACTCAGTGTGTGGCATTTAAGAAAACTCTGGGCAACATGGGCGGGGGGTGGGAAATATAATAGTGTGTTTTAAAATATACGTAAGTATATTCTGCATTAAACCAGTGTTTTCTAAAAGTATCAAAAACATCTCACTTTTGTGGGAAAACCATAGACTTTACTTCTATCCACGTGCATTTTTTGCACTTTTTAGCATTGTTAAAGTTCTTTGCCCTGTTTCAGTTAATCGCACACATTCAGACCTCAGCATTTCTTTACTGAGTGTCTGGAAGGTTGTTAGATAAATATTAAGACTTCAAACAGTATTCTGGTTATATTATGGAGGTGCAGGTCAATTCACTTCATAGGCAGTTTTCAACCACTAAGCTGGTGTCTCAAATAAAGGCGACTTGCTGTGGTTTCTTAAAAGCAGTTAGCACAGCACTTTGTCTCATAGTCACAATTTTTGGCTTATGCCCTTACCATACTTATGGTTCTTCATTAACAGCTGTGGACTGTCTCCTTTTTTTTTTTTTTTTTTAAACTATTTTGGAAAGGTGGCAAACAGTGTTTGCTTATATGGGTCATTGCATTTGGGTGGAGAATATAAAGTACTTTTAGGTGTAAGAATAGACAAAGAAATGACCATCTCTTTCCCAGTCAACTGAGTCTTAAGAACAGACGCATACAGCTACTAGCCAGCTTCCTGAAAATATTTTTCTGACTTTGTTACAGGAAACTTTCTGTAGATATCTGCTCAGTAAACTGTATGTTTTGCATGCTGTATGCTGTACCTTATCTAGAGCTAAATTGAGCCTATCTTCAATAATATTCAGGTTCAGAAAGTCCACTCACACACTGATTTGCAAACTGGTCTGCATATATGCAGCCTGAAGCATATATTCCACTGAATGGGACTCAGTGGAGTCCCAGTGAAGTCACTGGGCTTTGCTATGGCCAAAAAAGGTCAGCCAGTAGGCTCATAGAATTGGGGCCTTACTCTGCAACTTGGCATTGTCTGTCACAGACCCACAAAGCTATGTATTAGTCTTCCTAAAATGGATCAGAAACCCATTTGTTTAAGGCTGTTTGAAGTTACCCAGAGCTTCTGTAAATTAGCTGCTTGGGGTTTGTTCTTTTGCTTGTTTTTGTTTTTTGCCTTTACCCTTTCCATAGCTGTAAGAGTTTGGCCAAATAAATAAAAGCTTATAATGAAAACTCAGTTGTAGTCTTTACTGTGGAGTGACTGCTCTCACTCCCTAATAACCAGTGATACAAAGTTGGGAGTAATTGCCAGTCAGGAGGTTGTTTGGTTTCTTGTACAGGAAGAATTAGAAAACTGTGTGGAATGGAGCAATGGAAATGGAATGATTTTAAATGGTATGAAGTCATATGTGATCACCAAGAACTTTTGATGTAAGTGGAGATTGGAGGGTGTGGAAAATCTGGGTAATATAGGCTGATCATAGGATGATTTTGAGCTTCCAGTGTGATACAGCAGTGATAAAGGCTAATGCAATTCTAGATTGTATTAGGGTATTTTTTAGAGAGACAGGGAAGTGTTATTCACATTGTAAAAAGCATTAGCAAGGCCTGTTCTGAATGTTGTACACTTGTACACAAAATTAAATTTAAATTGGAACAAGAACAGAGAAGAGCGACTTTGGGTGGTTAGGGGAAAGGATAACCCATCTCATGAGAGGAAATTAAATGAACATGTTTTTAGCTTGGCAAAACAAAGGCTGAAAGAGGATATTATTTTTTTTATAAATATTTTCACACGGTGAATATTAGGGAGAGGAGGACGATATAAGCTAAATAACCATATTGCTACACGATCTAATAGATACAGACCAGTAAAAACAAATTAAGATTAGAAATTAGAAGGTTTCCAACTATTAGACAAGTGGACTTTTGCAATATTCTTCTGAAAAAACAGTGGGACAGGGTATCTAAATTGCTGTCATAAAGAACTGGACAAATTTATGGAAGAATACAGTGTTTCTGAAATACTGATTGAAGCATGTGATATGGATTTGAGCATTCAGTATTTATGATGACTGTGAAAGGAAATTATATCTCTATGCAGGATGTATCTGGCAGTTGCATGCTTCATGGCTTCTGCTGAGTACCTCTAAGGAACAGTAAGACTTTTTCCTCCCTCCGCACTCCCATGAATGTGTTATTTTGATTTTAGGAGGGGTTTCTACCTGCTTCTGAGGCATTGGACACAACTAGAGATACGACTTTGCCTGGAACATGCTAGTATTCTTAATAAAACTTAGTAGCCTCTCTCAGGAATCTGAATAGTAGATCTTGAGCTCGTACATTTAGGATTGGACCATGTGGCAGATTTGGAGTTGGGAGTGAACCATTTGTTTGCTTTCCTCTGTAGTACAGGATGTGTTCTTCTTCCTATGAGTATTTCAGCATATTTTCAAC